AGGATGATGGAGCGCTGGAACAGGCTGCCCAGGGAGGCTGTGGCTTCTCCTTGTCTGGAGATATTCCAGACCCTCCTGGACGCCCACCTGCGCCGCCTGCTGTAGGGAGTCCATTTTGCAGGGAGCTTGGACTCAGTGATCACTGGGGGTCCCCTGCAACCCCAGTTCTGTGGTTCTGTGATTTTAATCCTTGCTTCTTGCAGCGATGCAGTGTTTCAGAAGGGAGAAAAGCACGGCGGGCATCAACTGGATTTCTGTGGTTGGTGAAGCTGTGCTGAGAAGTGGGCTGGCTGCTGCCCCTGGAAATGAGTCTGCAGACTTTGCACCCAGAGGAATGACTTTTCCCTGCCGGTTGAGCTTGTCTAAGGTAGGTCACTGCTAGGTGAGCTTCTGCTTTAAAACATCAAGTTGTACAAATAAGGAAACTTCAAAAGCAAGATTGCCAATTCTTTTTTACATAGGTGATTTTTTCACGAGGAAAGATTTGAAATGCTGTTTGCTAATGGAAGATGGAGAGAGGAAAATCAAGTCAAAGGCACGCTATGCATAGCCAGCACACAGCATCTGCACCGCTCTCCCCCTGCACAAAGGAGGAGCAGCTCAGCAAGCTTGGCCTGGGCCATGGAAGGCAGCATACAAACATCTGGACCAACCCCAGCGGAGCTGCTTCTGCAGGTTGGTTGTCTTCTGCTGTGTGTCTGCCATCCTGTTGCTCCGGGGTAGATTTGTTCATGTTCAGCTCATGGATCTGAGGTCTGAGTTTAAGGCTGTGGGCATCGTCCAGGAGTTGGGGTAGGGTACGAGGCAAGGAATATTGGGGTAAGAGAATGAGGTTTAGGACCAGGAACCTCTTCCATCACTATTAGCTCTTGCTGTTCTCTTTTTGGCTTAGCAATCCATATGGGTTTTTTAATGAGGAACAGACTCGTTGTGCAGCTTGTGAGCGAATTCATTCACACCTGTTAATTGACGTTCTTCTCTACATGGAGCTGCAATTGCAATGGATGCTTGTGGTCTGATGTGCAGCCCCCTCTGATGTGCTCAGATGAGCCAAGTTTGCAAGGCCTGACTCTCGGTTGGTGAGTTGTGCCCAAGGTCAGAGAGGTGACTCTTGTCGGCTTTGAGAACCATCTTCCAGTTGCACACTGTGTTCTTCCTGTTGCATTGAGCTCTTGAGCTCCAGCCCTAAGTGAGGATGCAAGCGCTACCGCAGAAGAGATGGTTGAGATTGGAAGTGCAGTGCAAAGGGCTGGAGCCAGCAGGAGCAGGGATGTGATCATCCCCTGTACTCAGCTCTGGTGAGTCCTCACCTTGAGTGCTGTGCTCAGTTCTGGGTCCCTGACTACAAGAAGGACACTGGAACCCTGAAATGTGTCCAGAGAAAAGCAGTGAAGCTGTGAGGGGTGTAGAGCACAAGAGTTATGGGGGGCGGCTGAGGGAACGGGGATTATTTAGTCTGGGGAAGAGGAGGCTCAGGGCAGACCTTATCCCTCTCTACAATGAGCTGAAGAGAGGTCATGTCGAGGTGGGGGTCATCCTCTTCTCCAATGTAAGTAGCGACAGGACTGGAGGGAATGGCCTCAAGTTGCACGAGGGGAGATTGAGGTTGGATGTTAGGAGACACTTCTCCACAGGAGTGGTCCGACACTGGAACGGGCTGCCCAGGTTGGTGACAGAGTTACCGTCCCTGCGGGTGTTCAAGAAATGTTAGATGTTGTCCTGAGGGACATAAGGGGCTTAGTGGGAAATGTTGGTGGCAGGTGGACGGTTGGACTGGATGATCTTGGAGATATTTTCCATGCTTGCTAACTTTGTGTTTCCATGAAAGGCATCTGCCGGTGAGAGCTCTGCTGGGTGAGCATCACTCTGCTGGACAGCAGGCAGCTGTTGTCTGTGCAGACAGCCACATCCATGGGGAGTGGAGTCTCTTTAACCTTAACCTTGTCTTTCATGTCTCATGTGCAGTAAGGCATGTTGTTATAAAGCACCATCGTAGGGGCAACCTTGATTTCTGCAGCCACCAGAGCTCTCCGCCGTGCTTCTCCCTGTGGTGTGAGACCGTATTGGAGGCCATGCAGAAGCCTGGGTAGGTGAAGTCAGTTCCTCTTACTTTCCCCCCCGATGCTGGAAATAGCAGGGAATGGGACTGGGGGACATCCCAGCAGTGGGTTCCTACCTCAGCAGGACTGAATGGCCGTTCTGGTATTTTGAGTGAATCTGACACCAGATAGAGAAATGAGGGGCCTGTGGACAAAAAGAATGTGCTGCTTTTTGCAGTGTAAGATGTTCTCTGAGCTGCTGCTAACAGTGCCCAGCATGCTTCCTTTTCGATGGGGAGAGGTTTAGCAAGGATTTTTTAGATGAAAATAGTTAATCCCATATGTCCTTTTCATTGACCTTTCTTTCATCTAGTTCTTGCAAAGTTACCTTTGGATTCTACGTTACTATTTATTACTGAAGAGAATACATGTGCAACCCGCGCTTTTATCTGTGCAAAGAATCTTGTAAATGTCTGTGTGTGTGTTTCTTCTTGGCACTGAGATGAAGCTGTGTGCAATATGGGCTTGGATGACTTTTCAATCAGGTGCAGGGACGCGTAATGCTCATCTTAGATGTCGTGCTGACAAGAACAGCAGAGTAGCAAATTTTACAGGGTTGTATGAAATTTTTTTTGATTTTAATTTTTAATTTTTTTCCAGTCATAACCATGGAACCACAGAAGCGTTACCCAGACAGAAGGAGCCTTTGTCACCTGGACTTCCTACCAATGACCCAGGCAGTGGAAGTCAGCATCCCAAGCATCCATGAAACCCCTGCACA